TGATCATCACTAGCGTTGGTTGAAAGTTCTGTCACTTTGAACTACCAATGACAAATATCATTTTGATAGAAAAAGTGATTTTTCACATCTCTTTTCCCATTTTTCAACCAACTATAGAGTGGCTTAAAATCTTTCAATTTTCAGTAAAAATATCAGGAAAATAAATCTTGAAAAATTGTTCTTGGATTTTTTCCCCCTGCTTTTGGACTAGATTTCCTCCACACATTGCCAGGAGAAACCCCAAATATCCATTTTGTGCCCACAGGAATACCCACGTCTTTCCCAAATGCTTCTGCTCATGAAATTCAGGTTTCTATGCAAAATTTGCTGGCTCAGTTTAGGCCACTCCTTGAGAAATTGGCCTTTTCTGCTAACACCTCTGCCTCTAATTAACAGGTATTTTTTGGAAGATGGCTGATAGAAGGCAGCCCATACGTTATGCTCTTTGACATAGGATCAGCAGCCTGGAATCTGGACAGATGGAAAGGAGAATTCTGGGATGCATGCAACATAGGAATCCCTTTTAATGACAGAGAAGCCAACGATGCACTGATCTTTGGATCATTGACTGCCTGGTTCTTTAAAGAGGTACAGTTTTAAAGTCTAGAACAACAGTGGCTTCAAACCTGGATCTGACATAGATCCAAATCAAATTTGGAATCTCAGTAACTCCTCTATTATATATTGTACTGAAACCACAGACCTGAAACTTTCCCCTCCAATGGTAAGAAATTTCACTCCTGGTCTGGAGCCAAATTCATGGCTGTAGCTTATCTCTGATTTCAAAGTGTTCTGTTGGTCAGTTCAACTGCATTCTTTCCACGGAAAGCCATGTCTGGCATGTGGTGTTACTTTAATGTCATTTCTACCCTATGTTTCTTCTTGGGTGTCTGAGTTCTTACTGACACCACTTTGTGGTAGTGATCTCGCTCTCTCTCTACCAATGAGCAGCAACCAGGTGATCACTCTCAAACTGTCCTTGCCTCCACACAGAAAGCCAAGGGCAATTTACTTCCCAAAGTTGCCAGATTCTATCTTCCCTCAAACAATTAACACTGAGTCACTTATGGTTTTCTTAAACTGGGGTCTAATAGCAAAAGAGAAAATATAAAGAACAATGAAAGATTGTGTTTCTCAGAGAGCCCTGGGTGAGCGTGCCACTGGGGGGCATGGTGCAGCATGTACTTCTCTTCACAGCCAACCAACTCTACCGACTGGTCAGGGCTGTGGTCAAGTAGAATGCTATAGGATTTTTTTTCATTCAGAAGAAAGCAGACACTTGGGGGCTGCTGAGAAGGGGGTGATAAGCAGGAGGCAGTGCACTTCACATGTGTCCTTTCACATTGTTTTCAGCTCACCAGCCAGTTTGATGACAAGCCCAACTTGATTGCTCACTTTCATGAATGGCAGGCAGGTGCTGGGCTAATCCTCTCTCGATTTAGGAAACTTCCTGTTGCCACAGTCTTTACTACCCATGCCACACTGCTCGGGAGGTACCTGTGTGCAGCAAGTATAGATTTCTACAACAAACTTGACCAGGTAAGAGTCTGTCGTTCTGTTTTCTCCCCATGGCATTTCAAGCTAACTTTTCAATGATGCTAAAATGTCTCATTAAACCATGCGGCTCCTGGCTTTGGTGCCTGTTAACTTTACCAATGCACAGTTATTCCTTCTTGAATATTCTCATGGGGTGGGCAGACATAGAAGTGCTTTGCCACAATTTCAAAGCATAATAAATTGTATTAGTTACATCCTTAGGTATGTTGGGTCTGATTCCAAACCCAGTGAAATCGGGAGTCTTTCCATTGACGTCAGTTGGATCAGGCCTATCTGGAGGAAAACTGGAAACCCTCAAACTCCTGGGCTAATCAACAGCCCAATTCAGTCCACTGACTGATAAATAAATGGCAATAACAATATATTGCACTGCTATAGCACTTGCCATCTGAAGCTCTTAGCCTTATTATTAACAATTTGAGGATATTTTCAAAGGCACAAAGATCAGTTAGGTACCCACCTCCCAATGAAAGTCAATGCCTTTGAAAATCTCCCTCTTTAGGTGCCGATGAGGCACCTAAGACAGAGATGTAGAGCAAATTGGTTGAGAGGCCCTGTGGCCAGTTGAGTAGGTAGTGGCTACAGCACCCACGTAGCTGGGGGCTAGGCTTAGAGCTGACGCTTAAGCTGCTGTGTTTTACAGCACTTTTTACCAGGGTAAGGATGTAGAAAAAATGGTCTATTACAGTAATCTCTGTGTAGTTAACATACAACTGGGTTCCTATTATGAGGCTCATTTTGCCTTCCTCCAACCTGCCCCCGCTCCCTTGTAAGTCGAACAGAAATGCGTACTCTCTCAAATTTTTAGGGTTAAGTCTTATTGGCAGCTAGAATTTTTTCTCAGTTTTTTGACTAATTTGTGTTTGAAATTAAAAGACCTATTTAAAATATTTCTTGAAATTTTGGTAGAGTGTCGGTTTTTATTTTATGTTCCACTCTGTCAACTTCATGATATCACATTACAGCACAAAATGGAAAACATAAGTAGAATTTTATTACGGTCCTCGGATATATTTGCTGTTTAGCAACTGCAGGTACAGGGTGGGATCTGTGTTTTACAAATGCAGATACAGAGAGAAATGGATTTTGAGATTGGTTTATGCATCACGGATTCATCCTTTTATGAATCATGCCAAAGCGCTTTTAAAAATCCCACCCTAAAAGACTACTTCGCTGTGGTAGCTCAGAATTTAGTATCCTGCAAAATAGTGGCTGTTCTGTAGGAGCATCTTTACTACTTCTTAGAGTTAAACATGAATTAAAAAGTGCAGTGATATCCTCATACATGTCAGTTCACTTGTCATATTGCTGTAAAATAAGCCAGCTGCTAGATAGCATGCTAAAAATGAACGAAGTGTCCTGGTCTATGGTCTGTACTTCCTTGATACAGAGAATTGAAGAGAATTGTACATCTTTAACCATAATCTTTCTTGCAAAAATTAAATTTAAGATTGAGCTCGTCTGCTGTATGAGTCTGTAAAAGGACAACAGTAAAATGCAAACCTTTTTTTTTAATTCCCTACCTTTCCTGTGTTCTCAAATCAAAGCCATGCTCTCTACAGCACAGAGAATTTCTGAGTAGCAACATAAATATATATCAATACAAAAATATTTATCTTCTGAAATCCCATTCATTGCTATGGTGATAGTTAAAAACAGACATATTTCTCTCTCTGAGAATACCTTTTATGTATTAATATCACCTCTGAAGTTTTATTATTAATCTCTGCAAATATACTTTAATGATGGAGGCTAATGGAATTCCACAGCTCATTCCTTCAGGCAGGTTGACATTTAAAGGGTACTGATGCAGGAAATTGTGTGAGGCTATTACACGACTGTTTCACAGACACTTACGGTGCATTAAAGCTCTTCCTGACAAGCTGTAACATTTACTAAGAGATCAGCTGTCTTAATGAGGGCGTCTTTGGCTGTAAAAAGGTCAGCCTGGCCCAAAAGCCAGATGAGAAACATAAGGGGCTGATCTAGCACTCACTCATTAAATGATACAGATAGGCAGGTCTTTAGAGGATATTCTTGCTGTTGTCTTTTAGTAGTAGACTATTAAGGTCAAACAAGTGATTTGTCCAGTGATAAAGACTCTCCAGGGCTTTCTAGTGTTTAACCTTTGGATGAGACAATATACCTTTTAAAGGGCATGTCACTTTTTTCCCCTTTCCAAAGTACAGCGCATAGTTTTCCTGTTTCAGGCCAATTGGATTTTTTAAAAATGGAATTTAAGCTCTCACTTTTGATCAGTGTTTCTTGGAAGGAACATACTTTGCTTAAAGCTGAAGGAAAATATCTGAGACAGGTGGGAAAGAACCAATGGGTGTATGTTCTACCATAGATGATAACTATTTTATAATGCAGAGGTGAAGCAGCAGTCTAGCAGTGCCTGGGAACAAGCAGGCATGCTCAGCTCCTGCAGAAGCAGAGGGAGCCTCATGTTACCTGTACTAGCACTCAATGTAGAAAAACAAGGATTGGCTTTAATGAGCTCCAAAGAGAACCCTGCCTAGCCCTAATTAGGAGGTACTGTCAAAGAACTGGTGTGCCATGAGGAAGGAGGGCTAAATGATGAGATAGACAGGATCAGGTTTCAAAAGACACGGGATAGGGCAAGGCTACACTCTGATTCCTATTTAAGTATACAAAGAAACAGATTGCAAAGCATTTCTTTCTTTCTGATGTACTTCTTGCAGGAGAAAATGCCTCATATCCATATTCTTAACAAGGTACAACAAATGAATACAAACATAAAGGATACAAATGCATAGCCTGATGTAAGCCCACTGACGTCAACAGATGTATACCAGAGATTAATTTGGCCCAAGTTCCCTACATTTGGGAATAAACCTTAACATCAGGAATTTTATAAAGCAACAGTAATCCCAAGTGTAAAGTTACTGACATTTTCCCCATCGTTGCAAGCAGAGGGGAGCTAGAACTGTGAGGGCCTTCCACCTTGTGCACGATGCTCCCCAGCCGAGCCAAAACCTTTTGATTCAGAAATCTGATTGCAAGTTTGTGCTGCTTGAAACAAAACAGCCACTGAAGAGACTGTAACAGACCCGGGACCAATTCTCCAGTGTAGGACCAGCCTACCACAACTACATCACCCTTAGCGTATGGGGTATGGTCAAGGAAAACAGAGCTTAGATGGCATTCCTTTGCTCTCCAGCGATCCCTGGTTGCTAGAATGACCCCAGAGGACCATTGGCCAGTCCTGATGATGTGGCCCTAAAGTTCCAGATTCTGGTCTCAGGTCCACTAGTGTAAATGTAATTCCACTGAATTTGGCAAAGTCACTCTGGATTTACAACAGTGTGACTGAGAGAATCTGCCTGTATCAGTGTAGATTAGACTCATATATTTTTATTAAATTAGATGCTTTTATAGTTTCAGTTCTCATTTGCTTATGCGGACAATCAAAAAAGAAAAATCTAACTTAATCATTCTGTTTGTTTTGGATCCTGTATTATTCAGGAGAACTTTCTAGAAGTGTAAACAGCTATTTCATTCTCTGTTTTCTGCAGACAGGTGTCTTGTATAGAACTCACCATTTCCCCAATGAGATAAAGAACAAGGGTTGCTCATCACACCCACACTATGGCTGAACTTGTAATTCATCTCAGAATGCAAAGCCATGAATGGGCCAAACTCATCTCTGGTGTAACTGGCCCTATTGCCCCCCTAGCTTGCAGTTGGGTTACATGGCTCAGGGGATTGGTAATTGGATAATAAGCCTTTCACTTCTAGGTCACTAGTTCAAATCTGGTCCAGGTCAGTACAGACTTAAAGCCCATTACCATCTAACAGCTGTTAATGTCAGAGTGAAACAAAATGTACACTTTCTTTTCTTGCATTCAAGATTATGATGTTTGAATAACACCCCTATTGAGGGGAAAACAACAAGAAAACAAAGAAAAAATAATGAGATGTCATTAGTGCAGTATAATGTTCCTGTGTGGCTTTTTTGTTGGCATCTCTGCTTGGGGGAATGAAGTGGTCAGGGACCCATAATAAGAGCTTGATTTTTTTTTCGTCTGTTCAAATCCAGCCAAGGTCAGTAATCACCAAAGGTTATGTTCTGTTGGCTGTTCAGTGACTTGAGTAGGGTATTCTCCGTCTGGCTTCCACAAGATAACTGTCCATGGCACTAGCTGGCATCCTTTTTAACAGTTGCAGCAGAGAAGCCAGGGATTCTCAGTGCTAGAGGCTAATAGGCTAGCTAGCATCTTTCAAGCCAGAGGGTGAAGACCTCCTCCTTGAGACCTTGCTGTATAGCTCAGAAATCAAGTGGTGGAGGCCCCCTGGGTGAGCTGGACATTGGTCCCACTGTCTCCAGAATTGGAGATCTCCTGGACTATGGTCAGAGAGACTGGCTGGACCCTGTGGGTATTACCTAGCACATGATGTTGCCTACCCCTGTGCCTCCCACTGAGTGCTCCAGGAGGTGAAAGCTGTCCTGCCCTCTGCCTCTCTCTTATACATGAGTGGCTGCTGCAGGAAGGTGCACACCGCCTGCCTATGGTCTCTCTCCCATTTGAGGGGCGGGGCTTTTTGTTCCGGTGGACTCTGTCCACCCTTCCAGGAATTCACATAGGCTGGCACCTTTTGTAATTTCACTGAAATATATTGGCGGCTTCAGTGTAATTCCTGGGGGACAGAGCTCCACATCAGAACTAACAGTTTCAGCAAATAAGCCAATGAACAGGAGGGTCAAACTTCTTTCTCATAATAGCAGTAGTCCTTTCAAAGTGGGTTTGTGGAGCACTGGCTAGACACAATGGGCAAGTCCGTTGGCAAAAGTCTCTGGTGCTAGCAACTAAGTCTCTCACAAGTACTAAAAATTCACCTTAAGATTTTATAGTTTAAAAATACTGCACATGGAAAAACTATGGTCTGACTGACTCTCCGTGGTTTTGCACCTTGTGTAGTTATTTACATAGGTGCCAAGTTGGTGTAAAACATGAGTA